TCTGCTTCCATTTTCAACCCTCTATGGTCTTGTCTCCATACAGTGGCCAAATTGCATTAAATAGTAAACCAGATCATGTTACTTCCCACCTTAGTTCTGCCAGTGTCTCTCCATCTCACCCAGGAATGACAAATCCAAAGTCTTTACTGTGGATGATTAGGTCCTTTGTGATTTGGCCCTTAGTTATTGCCCAAAAGTCATTATCACTTCTCTTCCCCTTGTCTACTGCTTGCCACTCAGGTCCTTGGCTATACCTCCCACAGAATAACCATATCACTCTCTCTAGGCCTTTGCGTAAGATCTCTTCTTCCTAGAAAATTCCTCCAAAGATATTCATGTGTGGCTTCCTACACTTCATCCTGAAGTCTGCCCTAATGGCACCCTCAGAGGGGCCTCTTAAAAAAATCAATCTAAAATAACAGCCCTGTCACTGTAACTCTCCTTACCATTGTTTTATTTTTCTTCAAAATGTTCATTACCACTTGGTGTTATACTTGTTTGTTTACTATCCTTTTCCCTCGGATGGCAGGGACTTGTCATTTTCACTTGATGGGTCCTCAGGACCTACAACAATGCTTGGCATAGTGGAGATGCTCAATAAATATTTATTGAGTAAATGAATAAAGAGCCTATTCAAAAAGAACTCAGAGAGAAATTTTATTCCACTCCCCCTTTCTAGATAAGGAAATGAATTCCTTGAAGGGCCAAGTGATACATCCAAAGAAACATAGCAAATGGCAGAGCTGACTCAAAATTTGTCGTCTAACTCCTAGAATGCCACCATCTCTTAACTGTATCTCTTAATTTCTCCCCGCTTTTCTTACCAACTGTACAGCCACTCTTTTGGTCCAGGTCCTTAGTATGCCTTGCCTCTTGCAATAGCCTTGTAATTCTCCTTCTTATATATCCTATCTTCTCCTAAACCCTCTCCATTTCCAACTGCCTGAGCCAGAAGAATTCCTCTTTCACATGTTACTATATGACAAATAGTTACTGTAGCAAGTAATATATATAAAACTTTTATTCTGGTTAGTTCTCCCTATCCGAGACCTGTAAGTTCCTTGAGGCAAGTCCAGATACCTTATTAATCTCTGCATGTTGCAGTATCTGCTATATAGCATATATCCTTAAGAAATATTTATTGCACTGATGGCTGGAATATTCTCCAAGATTTCTGTATGGCTCA